ACTGCGTCATGCGTCACTGGTGCCCAGAGAGCCTTGCATTCGGTGCCAGGAGTCTGACACAGAGGTTGCTTCATCAACGAATGAACAGGCGGGATGGTGGCGGTGGAGTCAACAGTAAGCTGCATCTGCCACATTGCAGATTTCTGGAAGCCAAGAAGTGGAACATATACAGATGACATATTGAGAATTAGGTGAAAGTCGAGTATAGACATTGGAATCATTGGAGGGCAACATGTTTTCGCGTTGATAAAACCTAAAGCGGAGTTTTCCGCCAGGCTTCATTTGGACAGAAGCGCCGCAGTTGGAGCGACCTCCAGGACGCAGAAAATTTTTGTTTTTCAGCCCTTCTTAGCGTGGACAAAGTTGAATCTGGCTACACTGCCAATTCGAGGATGAGGATGAAGAGAGGCAGTGGGGAGTGGCATGGAGTGGCTCATTCCATGCAAGACAGTGCAAGGTGGTAGCATGTGGTAGCTTAGATTTGGGTTTGCCTGAAAATAGGGTGCTCCAAAGTCTCATGGTTAATCATAATGTTGCGCATTTCTTTGTGGTCATAAATTAGGGGACCTTCCGCTCCTTTTGGTAAAGACCGTTGTTCAACTGGGACTTCAGTGGCAACCAACCCAAAGGCAGTCCTCGAACGGCGAATCAAGCGATGCTGGCAGCCAGGCAGTGCCAGTGCTTGAGGGAGACCTTCCGACATTTCTGCAATTTTTGCGTGGTTTAAGAGTTTCGCTTAGGCAATTTTCTCAACATGATCATTTTGGTAGGTCTATGTGTCTATCTGGATTGGCTTTGTGATATTCCATATTCTCAGGAATCTCTCCAGAAGATGCCCTTTTACCACTCGTTGGTTGATGAATAGAGGGGTACCCATTTGGGTTCAAATCATTTTGCCAGCATCTAGTCCTGCGCCCAACCGGTTTGGGAGGCGGACAGCAAGGAAGAAGGTAAGGTGCCGAAGGTGCACCCGGACTGGATGGGCCTTTCAGGAGAGTGCTGTTGTTCTGATTTCGCACAAAAAAACCCATCAAGACATGGTGACAGGACACACGATATCACACGATCAATTGTATAAAAAATGGGGTTGAAAACCAGGTTGATATCCCTGCGCCGCCCTGCCCATCTGCCTGGGGCTGAAGCTGGAAATTGCAGCATTGATCTGTAGTGCATCTTCTGGAATTTTCTTTGTGCAATTTCTGAAGTCAGTGTTGTGAGTGTGCACATGAATTGCCATAAAAACATATAAAAACAATCTAATTTTCATTTGCTCCAACCCTTCCTGACACTGGCCACTTCAGCTTTGGCCCAGGCTGTTTCATCACAATGGTATACCGGTATACCGTATACTTCGTTTCATGAAGAAAGAGCAGTGTCATTGTGATTTTGGTTTCAAAATTGGCGGACTTGCAAGTGCAGTTGGAGAAGAATACACAGTACATTCACATGTAATGGGTAACTTTACAACAATACAATATTAGGGGAATCTTTGCATACATACGTCTCTCTCACTCTTTCTATACCTGTAATATACACGTACATCCTACACACAGATGTATGGAATGTTACATGCACACGTATCACATCTCAGATGTATTAAAATAGATGCTATATATAATATATATATATGGTATTTTTTCAACAAGATCCACACATATCTAGATTATCATTCGATTATCATTAGATTAGATTATCATTAGATTATCATTGGACTATCTGGATAATCATAGATCTTAGATTCATTATCATAGATACACTTGATTATCATCAGATTATCCATATCGGTCATGTATCGTCTCAGCGGCTGCACCGCCTCGGCCTTGGTGGCCTCAATGGCCTCGATGGCCTCGCAGCGGAGGCGGAGCGTATCAACTGAAAAAGGAGTTGCTTGCCATAGTACTGTAGTAGAAATATATATATATAATATATATACTACTAGTAATTTATATAGTACTGTAGTAGTTTATATAGCAGTACTTTTTGCGGTAGTAGTTTATATTAATATGAGCAACATTTTTTAAAGCAGTAGTTTCTATAGCAGTACTTTATCGAAGGAAGTTTAGAAGTCAAACTTCCGACAATATGGACAGATGGAAAAGCAGAGGTGGGAAGAGTCAGAGAAGAGAAGAGCAGAAGAGAGAAGATCAGAGAAGAGAAAGAGTCAGAAGAAAGAAGATGCAGATGCGCGAAAAGGTAGGAAAGTCGCGAAACACTGTGTTTTTCCAATGATTTGTGGCTCCGGAGGGTCGAAAAGTAGGCTCCCTAAAGCGGCGGGTGCGGAGCCATCTGGCCAGATGAGAGATGAAAAGTTGCACGCCGTTGTGGCGCGAAGCACATTTGGAAATCAAAATTCACAAAGCACACCATTCTCGGACTACTTTTGGAAGTTGAGATGTCGAAAAAGTGCACGCCGTTGTGGTGCGAAGCGCGTTTCCAAGTCAAAACGCACAAAGCACACCATGTTCCGACCACTGTTTGAAGTTGAGATATCGAAAAAGTGCATGCCATTGTGGCGCGAAGCACATGTCCAAGTCAAAACACAGCAGCTTGGGACCACTTTTTGAAGTTGAGATGTCGAAAAAGTGCACGCCATTGTGGTGCGAAGCGCGTTTCCAAGTCAAAACACAGCAGCTTCGGACCACTTTTTGAAGTTGAGATGTCGAAAAAGTGCACGCCGTTGTGGTGCGAAGCGCGTTTCCAAGTCAAAACGCACAAAGCATACCATGTTCCGACCTCTTTTTGAAGTTGAGATTTGAGATGTCGAAAAAGTGCATGCCATTGTGGCGCGAGGCACATGTCCAAGTCAAAACACAGCAGCTTCGGACCACTTTTTGAAGTTGAGATGTCGAAAAAGTGTACGTGGTTGTGGCGCGAAGCACATTTCGAAGTCAACATGTTAAAAACACCACATGCTCGGAGCACTTTTGCACGTTCAGATGTCGTTTCGCGTGGCAGGCGCAGGGAATTCTGCACCTTGCCAAAAGTGAGAAAAACGTGAGGGGTTTGTAGCATGTCCAAAAACGATGGCAGGCGTGGGACATTTGAAGAGGATCTGCAAAGATGCATTTCGTGTGGCAGGCGCAGTACGAGAGAGATGTTCCTCAGAGATGTTAGGGGGTCAGGGCGCTGATTTCGTGAGGGAGGTTGCATTTTGGAGCATCAGATCTTCAGGGGTGCTAAGATGACTGTGCGTGACAGGTGCAGCACTTCGTATGACCTGGCATCACTTTTTCGCAACAGGCGCAGTACTTTAGACAGGTGGAGTGGAAAATCGCAACACGCATTGGTACGAGGCCGTCAGCTCTGCACTCAACTTTCCATTTTTGAAGGAAGTCTCGCAGAATTGCTGCGTTTTTGATGTTGTCAACTTGAAACATTGAGGAAGTCTCGCAGAACAGCTTCGTTTTCAAACTTGCAGATAGATAGATAGATAGTTAGTTAGAAAGATAGATAGAGATAGATAGATAGATAGATAGATAGTTAGTTAGATCGATGGATAGATAGATAGATAGAGAGAGAGATAGATAGATAGATAGATAGATCGATAGATCGATTAGATAGATTAATAGCTAGAGATAGATAGAGAGAGAGAGATAGATAGATAGATAGATCGATAGATAGATAGATAGATAGGTACGTAGATAGATAGATAGCAAGATGGGCGGATAAACAGAAAGACGAATAGATAAACAAATACTTAGATAGACAGATAGATAGACAACTGCATCAGCACTACATCACACTACAACTACAACATCAGCTACAACTACACTACCACTACAACTACAAGTTCAACTACACTTCAACTACAGCTACAACCACCACTGCAACTTCAACCACACTTCAACTACAACTACAACCTCAAATACAATACTACAGCTACAGTTGCAATTACAAGTGCCACTACAACTACAACTGCAATGACAACTGCAACTGCAACAACTAGTACAACTACACTACAAGTGCAGCGGCAACTGCAGCTGCAACTACAACTACAACTACAACCTCAGCTACACTACAACTACACTTCAACTACAACTTCACCTGCACTACTACAACAGCAATTACCACGACACTACACTACAAAACTACAACTACAACTACAACTACACTACACATACCGCTGCAACTACAACTACAACTCCTACAACTATTGCAACTACTACAATTACTACAACTAAGACAATGACAACTTCAACTACACTTCAACTACAACAACAACTACAACCACAACATTACACAACATCAACCCCACTACAACTACAACTACAACTACAACTACAACTACTGCACTACACCACACTACGTCCGGGAGTTGTGAGGTGACGCGACCACTGCAACCATTGCAACCGCTCCAAAAAACACAGCTCCAACCACCTTTGGGTCCATCAGTGGATTCGCTCCACCATCCATGCATCACAGCAACCCACCTCTCCTATAGTGTCCTATCTTGAAACCTCCGCCACCGCCTTGTGCGGTACTACTGGTATTTATTAACTATGATCATTTTTTGAAAGATTGTCAACGAATATCGAGAATAGAACAGAAACGGATGGTATATGCTCCATTATCTTCCTGCATTTTCAAAAATCACGGAGACCGTTTGAATTGTTAAATTTCAAAAAAGTAAGATGCAGAACTCTGGTTTACGGTTGATACGGCTGTTCGATTCTGACGCAATGAAAAAAATGGGATAAATTTTAAATCTTGCACGTGATGTATAAAAAATTGTTGTGATGAAGTCGCTTCAAACACAAATGCGCAAGGCAAACAAACAATCACAGGGGTCTTGCTGAAATGACTTGCCGTCGCTTCCGCTCAAGCCTCCTTGAAACTCTCCTCGAACTCTCGGCAATTTCCCCATTTTTGCTTGAAAAATGGCGCCCATGAAGGCAATGAAGGCGATGAAGGCAATGAAAGCCATGAAGAGCATGAAGTCGATGAAGAAGGCCGATGACGAGGAGGTGCCAGCTATGAAGGCAATGAAGGCAATGAAGGCGATGAAGGCTTCACCAATATCCAGACACTTTGACCGCAGTGGTGAGGCCAATCAAGTTTCTTTGAAGCTTGGTTCCAAGTCTGGAAAGCAGCAACTCCCAGAGTCTAGTAGCACAAGCAAGTCATGCAACCTTGTTTGTTTCGTTGACGAGACTAGTAACACCGTTTTTGCTCTTTTGACTTTGTTTGCATCATTGTCTTTTGAGCCAGTTGTGCAAATCACCAGAATGCTTCGCCTTCACTGTTGGAATATCCTTCTGGGTATTTGTGTTGGGTTGACTGTCTTGACCAGTTGTTTTTGCGGATTTGACTTGACTTGCTTTTTGCTGCTGCCTTTCCGTGATGGTAGCCTTTGTTTGCTTGAGTCCTTGCTGATTGTCCTTCTCAATCTTGCGGCGCAGTGGGTTTGTCTACTGGCCCTGGTGTGCGTGGCAGTCATGCATGTGCCTTCTAAGCTGACAGTGTGTCGTCGCTCTCACGTTGTTGTTGTCCGGAAGTCTTTGTGGCCGGATCTTCTTGGGGGCACTGGTTTGGAGGAAATTGGTTCCAAGTCATGGTTGGACAACATCTTGCAGGGCTTGAATGCCCGACAACTGAAGCCACCCATGCAGCAAGTTCGGATGCTCGCGCAAGATGAAGCCACTTTGCGGCGACTACAAAAAAGTGAATCGCTGAAACATCAGCTTGACATTATTTGTGGCGCTGCTTATAAGGCCAAGTTGTCGTGGAAGAAAATTGATCAAATTGACCCTGTTTCTTCTTCTCTCTCAACTGCTGCCCCGGCGGCTCCTCCTCCTTTGCCTGAAGTGCAAACATGGAGGTTGCGTGCTCGTGACTGGAAAGTTGTGAAACCAGCAGCTACCGATGGTGACGCTGTGAGTGGAGAAAGGCATGATGCATTTCGCGATGTGGCTGATGGGGACCCTTTGTCGCACTTGTGGTCTCGCAAGTTAGGTGCCTATTTTGTGTCTGCGGTTGAGGCTACTCGCATTGTTCGGTCCGTTCCTGCCCATGCCCCTCCAGTTGGTGTTTTCACTCTTGTCACTCTTGAAGCAACTGCGCGTTCTGAGGTGCAACCGGTCGAGACTATTGTTGTCTTTCCTGACAATAGTCATCACATTTACAAGGTTTTTCTCACGCACCTCGGCACTGACAAGTTGAGAACTACTGCTTGGACTACGGTATCGCTTGCTTCGGTTGATTCTGTTGAAGTGTTGCTTGAATGGTGGAAAGATTTGTCTGATGGAGCTGTTTTGGCTGCCTTTGATAAATTTGTGAAACTTGCTTCTTCGCCTGTTGATTCTGATAAGGACTCCTTGGCCAACAAGGGCAAGTCCAAAGGCAAAGGCAAGACCAAACATGGTAAACTGCCTCACCGTTTGTCTGACACTTTGGTCGCGAATTTGAATTCACACGTGAGTCATATGCTTGGCGATGCCACTGGCCAAAAGCTGGCTGGCGCATGGACCGCCTCCGGCCACAATGTCAGGGCTGATATCATTCGCGTTTCTGTTCGCCTCCCAAAAGCGGATGCCCTTACCTGTTTGAAATCGAGAACGCAGCACAGTGCCGTTTTGGTTCGGGATATTCACACCATTCCTGAGGCGAAAGACCTGTGTTGCGTCTGGATTTCTCCTGGCTGTCCTGTCCTTGAAGGTTCTGCGGCCCACACTCGCCAAAGTTTGCAGTTGTATTTGGCTAGCTTTGCTCACCCTTGGTCTGTTGTGCGTACTCCTTTTCGTTGGGGGATCAGGATCCACAAAGATCATGAGAGAGAAGTTAAAGCCATTGTGCAGCCGCATGCTGTGTTTGTGCCTGCTGATCACTTCAAGTATCGTATTGCGCATGTTCCCCGATCCCTTGATCCTGCTGTTCTGGTTGCCACTCTGACCTCTGACTCGTTCAAGCCCTACTTGGTTTCGTCTTTCAAGGGAGTTGTGACCATAGCTGCGCCCTGTCCACCTGCGGACATTGTGTTTACAATTGCTGAGCTTGGTTGTACTCTGTTACTTCAGCATCTTCCTGGTCCTGCCAGTGGTGGTCCTCCTCTTGTCCCGTCCCGCCATGTTGAAGATGCGAGCCCAAAGCGAAAGAGTCGGCGAGCTGACTCTGAAAATGCTTCTGTTGGTCCTGACAATGGCCATGGTGCTGACACTCGGGGTGGAGCTAAGGGAGGGGTTCTTTCTACTAATCCGTTTGGTCCTTTGGATGATGCCTATCAAGTTGCTTTTCCGCCTTTGCCCAACGCTGGTGTTGCTCGGGAGCTCGCTTCGACCGAACCTGAGTTTGAGCTTGGAACCCTGCCTAATCTCGGGAACACATGTTTTGCGGCTGTGGCTGTCCGTTGTTTGGCTCACATTGTCAAAAAGTCGGATTTGCGCTCGTCTGTCCTTCAAGATGTTTCCTTGAGGCGTTTGTTGGATGACTTGTCGCCGGCCCAGTGGACGCGCTTCATCAAACATCATCACCTCGAGCATGGTCAGCAGCAAGATGCTGCTTTGTGGTTGCAGAAGTGGTTGGACTCTGAGTCGGTTTTGTGTTCGCATCTTTCTGTCACTGAACATGTTGCTCTTGAATGTGTTGGGTGCAGTGAGCCCAAGACAGCTGAATCAAGTTTTTCTCTTTGGCGCGTTCCCGCTCCCAGTGGCGGCTCTACTTCGTTGCAGAAGCTGCTTGATGATGATCAATGCTGTTCGGCCAACCCTGAGGTTGAAGTCTCGTGCTCATGTTGTTTTGCTGAACACGCGGAAGCTGTGTCTAAGCGTCTTTCTTTGAATGACTGGCTTCTCATTCAGACTCTGAGGGCTGATGTCAATGATAAGAAAAAACACACGGCTATTTCACTCCCCGACACGGTTGTTGTTGCTGATGCGTCTTGGGATATGCACCTTGCCGTGTGTCACTTGGGTGAGTCTGCGTCTTCCGGGCATTATGTTTTGCTTGTTCGTTCAGGTCACGATTGGCTGTTGTATGACGATGGAACTTGTCGTGTTGCCTCTGCTCAAGACATCTTGGATATGCCTTCTTCCTGGTCGTTTGTGTTGTATCGTCGGCGTTGTGAAGGATCGTCGCCGCAGTCTCCTGCTGTTGTTGTTGTTGTTGTTGACATCGCTGCCTTGCCTGCATCATGTGCTGATGCCGTTCCTTCGTCAAACCCTCCTGTTGCCCACCCCACGGTTGGTCCTGGCAGGGATGACCGCCCTGACATGCCGTCTGCTGACAAGCGTGCTGACAGTGTCAATGATTCCAGCGGCCCTCTCCATGCTGATTTGCGCAGCTTGCTTGCGGTTTTGTCTCAGCGGGTTGATGCGCTTGAGGTTGAAGTGCAATGTCTTCGGGGAGCTGGTTCCCTTCATGAGAAGCTTGTGTCCTTGGCTTGTCCGGGTTCTGGTCTGTCCGTGCCTGTGCGTTCAACTCTTGGCGATGCTTGTTCTCCCGGTGGTGACCGTCTAGGAGACACGGTTGCGAGCAACCCTGGCTGTGATGCGGATAAGCTTGTTGTTGCCTCTTGTCAGGGTCAGACCGGGATGCAGGCCCAATCCTTCCCTTGTGGCCCTCCTCCCCCGGTCGTTATCGAACCTGTTCCTTCGGACGCTTTACCAAAACGGAAAAAGCCAGTCGAAAAACAAAGCAGCAATCTGTCATCAATTCCTGTGGGCTCTTTCCCCCGTTCCACCAATCCGGCAATTGTGGCTGAAATCCTTCGCTTGCAAACTGCTGGCTTTGCTGAAGTTGCTTGGATTTTTGAGCGCTTGCACGCTGACTCCATTTTGCTCCCTTTGGCCCAACAGGCGCAAGACGTTGGTGGTTGGAAAAATCTGGGTGAAGCTTTGACTTATAACAGTCGTGAAGCTCAAACTCAACTCCAGAATGATGGCATCCATAGCCCAAGCGTCCGCTGGCTTGTGTTTCGCATGCTCCAGCGTGGGAGGTATAATCGGTTTGCTTCTGTCCTGGCGGCTGGTCATTGGGACCTCTTGCGTCAGAGTTTGGCTGTGTGCGACGTTCCTGACTGGTGGTCGCCTCCTTGGTGTCGTCCTGTCCATCGTCCGCATGCTGCGCAAGCTCGTGGTCGTCGCCCGTTGCTTCCTCATGAATGGCATCGCGCCCAAAGTTCCAAACGCAGTCGCCCCCCTGTTCCTGTTGCTCCTTGTGTTGGTGGCCCTGTCCGTTCGCGCAGTCGTTCCCGTTTTCGCGATCAAACCTTGCCTGTGCCGGTTGCTCAACCTGCTGTAGTTGGAGCTCGTAAGGTCTCTGTGGCTGTTCCCACCTCTTCTGTGAAGAACAAGAAGAAGCGCAAGGCGAAAGGCCAAGCTGATGTCAAAGGGGGTGAAACTGAATCTGGTTCAACTCCTTCCTTGTTTCGGGTTGCTGCTATGAATGTGACTTCCCTTTTTCCCGTGTTGCTGCGGTCTGTGCTCTTACGTTTGGTCTGGCGTGTGTCTCGGAGACTGCTCTCACCGGTACCGGGCAAGCCAGTGTTACTATGCGACTGCAGCAGTCAGGGCGTTGTGTAGTTTGGGGCGCTCCTGTGCATGGTCCTGGCGTTTCGTCGTCTCGAGGTGTTGCCTTGATTGGTGGTCCTGGCGTTCGTCTTTCGCCGCTTGATCTCCCGGATTGTCTGTTGGATTATTGGGCCGATGGTCGTATTGTTGCTGGCAAAGTGTCTCAGCAGTTTGGCAAAGCGGATATTACTTGTGTTGCGTGCTACGGTCACACACATGATGTTCAACGCCGAGAAGACATGCTGAGCCAGATTGTTGGTTGGGTGCTGTCGTTGCCCGGTCATGTCCTTGTCGCTGGGGATCTCAATTCCTCTCTTCAGGATTCACTTGCTTTACACCAGCTCGTGCGGCAGGGTTATCGAACGGCCAATCCTCAGGAAGTTGTGACATGCTGTGCTCATAACTCTCACACGGGTTCCGTTATCGACCATGTCCTTTTTTCTCCTTCATTGTTGCAGTCCTTTGTGTGTGGGGAGGTTCTCTCTGCTGCTCCCTTCCCCACCCACCGACCCGTTTGCGCTGATTTTGATTTCAATCCTGCTCATGACTCTTGGAGTGTTTTGCAACCTCCTCGGTCTTTCCCTCTTTCCGAGTGTGTCTCCCGTTCTGTTAAGTCCCAGGATTGGTCTGCTGACTTTATTCATGTCTCTAATCTCCTTGAAGATGAACGCCCTGATGATGCGTATGCTCTATGGACCCAACTCGCTGAATGTGAACTTGCGCGGCAGTGCCGACTTGGTGGAAAAACTGTGTGCTCCTCCCATTTCGGTCGCGCTGTTGTTCCTGCTCTTAGGGTTTGTGATCCGCAGTCTCTTCGGCTCCAAGGTGATGTTGACTTTCGTCGACTTGAACGCGCTCGTGCTGGCTTAGCTGAACTGTGCTCCTGTTGGGATTCTTGTGTTGCTAACAATCACAGCCAAGCCATCTGGACAAATGCTCGTCGTCGCATCCTCCTTGTGTTTCGCTCTCATCCTCTCCCGAGCCAACTCCCTGGCAAGGTTGAAGTCCAAACTCAACTTGATTGGTTGCGGCGCACGATTGATCGGCGCAATAAACAACGTCGCGATGAAGTTTTGTCGGCCTGGCGCACTCGCATGCAAATGTCGCAGGCTGAAAGATTCAAATGGGCTAAGGCCAAATACACCTCCTGGCAAAACATTCACGATACCGTTGCTTGCTTTCGAAAGGTTGAAGAGATCTGGCAACCGATCTTGGCTCGACGCCCGGATGCAGCCCCTTCTTGCCCATCAAACTTCACCGAAAATGGTTTTGCTGAGCCTGCCTTGTCTAGCTCTCTCAAAAGTACGTTGCACCAGCTTGATATGCTTCGCATGTCTGGTTCTGATCTTCGGTCTGCAGTTGACAAAATTGCGGCTCACTCCGCTTGTGGTGCTGACGGTTGGCGTCGGTGTGAGTTGCTTGCCTTGCCCGCCTGTTTCTGGGATCTCTTGGCTCAGGTTTTGTATGGCATGGCTGCTTCTGGCACTTGGCATCCTTGTTTGCGCACGGTTGTGACTACTTTGATTCCCAAGAAAGCTTCTGTTGACTTTCTGACTGATCCTGCTGGTTTGCGTCCGATCTCTGTGGCTTCTGTGGTTTACCGTGCTTGGTCTGGTGTCGTTGCGCAACGTCTGCATGCTGTTTTGGAGTGTTCTCTGCCATCGTGCTCTCATGGCTTTCGCACTGGTGAGTCTGCCCAAGCTGCTATGGCCTCCACGTATCTTCGTTGTCAAAATGCTTCCTTGTCTGGTTGTCATGTTTATTTGGTTTCCTATGACATGCACAAGTGTTTCGACTCGCTTCCTTGGCGCAAAGTGCGTGACAGCTTGGTTGAATGCGGCGTGCAACCTGCGTGTGCTAGTGCTCTTCACAGTCTGTGGTCTGGTCTTCGTCGTATTTGGAAACTCCAAGGTCGTTTCTCTGACGCGTCCTTCTCCAGTACTAACGGCCTGTTTCAAGGGGACCCTAGCGCTCCGGCGTGTTTGTCTGCGTTTCTCTGCTGTCCTATTCGTGAGTTGGCTCGTCGTTTTCCTGAGGTTTCTATCTCGCTTTATGCTGATGATGTCCTGTTGTCTTCGCCTCATCTGTCTCAGCTTCACGCTGCGCATGATTTCTTTGTTAGTTGGCTTCAGGACCAGCATGTCACCTTGAACATCGGTAAGTGCAAGTGGGCCAGTACTTGTCCAGGCAATGATGCCGTGAGCACGGCTCATTTTCAAATTGGAGGCGTCAACTTGGGGCGTCTCACTATTTTGGAAATATTGGGTGGGCATTTTGATCTCGGCGCTCTCTGCGTTGGCTCTTCTGCTCACTGGACTGCGTTGTTGGACAAGTTCTTAACCATTGCCAAACGGTTCAAGTGTTTGTCAGTCGGGTATGAACCTCGATCTAGAGATATTGGGGCTTTGATGAATATGCTCACTTACTCTGCTATCGCTTGGGATCCTCTGAGTGCGGTTGATGCTCGCACACAGCGCATCCTTGTCAATGTGCTCTCTGGTGGTCGCACCAATACCCGTAGGTGCTTAGAAGTTAGTCTTGCTCTTCTCAGTCCTATTCATCGGTCCTCTATTCCTCATGCGCTGCTTCATGAACAGGTTGCGTTGTTGTTTCGGCTGGCAAATACCAATTTGGAATATCAACAGCTTTTGCAGTCCCATTTCCATTTATGTTCTGAAATGACTTGTCCTCCTGCTGATTCCTTTTATGTTCGGCTTCAACAGGCCCTTCAGGCTTTTGGGTGGAGGTGGGTTGCTTGGAATCAACTGGCGTCTCAAAGCGGACAAATGTTTCATCTAGTCTGCAAGACCATGGAATGTCGCCGCAGAGTTATGTGTCAATCCTTCGCCCAGGCCTCTGATATGGCTGATGTGATGAAAACTTTTGCAAGCACACGTTTGCTTCATAAGAGGGAACTGCATCAACATAGCCTTTCATGCTTGCATGCTTTGCGCGATGCCATGCGCCATGTGTGTTTTCAGACTGCTAGTCGGCGCAGACGTGACATGCGCAATTTGGAACATGTTGATCGGGCTCTGTTGCGTCGTGTTCTGGGTTCCGATGAGGTTGCATGCAGTATTCGTTGTATTATGCAAGGTGCCACTCTCACTGCTGATCGTCTGAACCGGTCTTCTCGCGGTACTGTGTCTGCTACTTGTCCGTTTTGTCGCCTTGGTGTTGAAACCGAGATTCATCGTTGGTGGCAATGTCCGCGTTGGGATTATGTCAGGTCTTCCTGCTTGGGTGAGCATGCCCCTGTGATTTGCGCCCAGCTTGCTGCAAGCGACTCTGTCGCATCAATTTGTGGCATCCCCACTCTGGGTTTGTCAGCTTTTCTACAGTCAAAGTGGGTAGACATTTGTGCTTGCATGGCGGCTGTTTTGGGAGCTGCCAATGAACATGATCAGTAATTTTTTCGTTGGCTCTCAGTTTTGGCGTGCATCGGCACTGTGTCCGTTTTGTGGATGCTTTGTCCTTGGCTGTGCGCATTTCTTCTCGAATTTGATCCTTGTGATTCTTTGGTATAGCTTGTCTGGCTTGGATCTTTTGTTGAATCCGGGGCAGATTGCATTCATGCGCTTTTCCAGCATGATCTTTTGGCAACAATTTTGTGGGCCTGTGGCCCTTCACCTGGGGTAACAGATTCAAGTTCTTTTCTTGGGTCCGAGATCCCTCATCTGCATTTTGTAGGTGAAAATTGGATCAAAATGAAGGCGATGAAGGCGATGAAGGCAATGAAAGCCATGAAAGCAATGAAGGCCATGAAGTGATTGGCTCACTGATGATGGCAATGCTGGCATCATTCGGGTCTTTTGATGCGCCCAAGTGACATAACAGTACAAATACAGGGAGGATTTTGTTCAGGTCCGTAGGGCCTGAAATGTACAGAAATGCGCAGACCGACTCTGTGCCATCTGTGCCTGAAAACAAAGTGTGATGAGCAAGTCGTTGCTGATGCATGCTGTGCAGTTTAGCCTTTAGTGAATGAACAAATCCCATCAGGGCTTCCCATAATTTGCCAAATAACTACAGAACCCTCCAAAAATATTAAAAGAGTGAAATTCTGCTAAAACTGTGGTAATTTACTTTACCTGTTTTATTGGGGGTACTATAGAAACAAAATAACATGATAGTAGTAATGTATAATATTTAATACCGATTAATATTGACCAAAACCATTGTTTGACACATTGCAGGGCGTCACCTCAAGTGGCCCGCTGCGATGTTCGAGGCTGCAAGTCTGTGGACTGACAGCAGTGGATTGTACACTGAACTGGTTCCATTTTTTTCTTTCAAATCGATTTCATGATTGGGGCATGCTTCTGAAGATTTGGTTTTTGATCGCATTTCAATGGAATGTGGACAGATGGTTCAGAGGTAGTTGCCTCTGTTTTTCGGGCCCGACTAGGCACTGGAGATCTGCTGAGAACAAGCAGAACCTTCACCTTCCTGAACTTACTGGACAGAAGAGCTCAGAATCTGGAGTTTGCTAGTGGACTGGACTTGCTGATGCTAGGCTTTGTTTTTGTTGCGAGGAACGGGTGCTGTTTCTAGTTGGCCTTGCAACTGATGTGGTTTTGATATGTTTTGATTACAACCTCGATCGATTGCCTAGCTGTTAATCAATTGGTTTGTCTCAATGACATGAATACATTGAGTTATCGAGGTCAAGCATTCTTTCGCCCACTTTGTCCTTAACCCCAGGAAAAACGGCGAGTCTGTGGCTTCGGCTGCTCAGCAGCTGTTGAACTTTGCTGATTTGGCACAGGTGGGCCCCTGGTTTTTTGGGATTTTCGCTGAGATGGGCGATGATCGGCATAAAATGAGCCGCTGAACCATGCTGAGCCATGCTGAAGCCCCCGAGGCTATGCTGGAAGCTGAATCTGCTGGGAGCCTCCAACACCTGGATCTTCCAGAGCAACTGGGCCGCTGCGCAGCAAGTCTCTGGGACCGCTTTGTGGAGGCGGCCCAAATCAACGGAGGAGTTCCAGGTGTGGGGAATCAAAGGTTGACCAAACATGAGAAACACATCTTGAAGTCAAGTGCCATATGCTGTACTGATCCAAGATGATGCTGTAGGATGCCGTAGGTCGTTTTCCTTTTTTTTTGAAATTGGAAGCCGAAAAAAACTTCCAAACTGCGAGCGTTTCCGGCTGCAGAAACTTGGGCATCCATTGCTCGGAATCTCCTGGCCAACGACTACGCCTTTGCGCTGTTCAGTTGTGCTGAAGCGAAGATCGTACAGCGACAGCTGAGTAAGCTGCACATTGAAATGATCATTGATCCGATGGCTGGTAGTGGTTTGCAACTTGACTTGTTTCTAGTTGTTTTTTTTTTGTGACTTGGGTGTCTTTCTAAGCAGAAGACAACACCCGACATTATCCACCAAAAGGAATGCTGTCCCAAGGCATGGCCGGCTGCTGGCGCAGGAAGGCTTGCAGGTGCACTGCATGGATGCCATGCCGGGTGGAGCAGGAGTCCCATTGAGAGAGTTACCTATGTGATGTCCTGGGAAGTTGATAAAATGATAAAAGATGGTCTGATATGGTCTGATGATCTTTAATTCATGAGAGTTCCCCTCCAAATGTGGTCGGACGGGCCTTGGTGCTTTTGTAGATTGCTGAACCCTGGAAGGAGGCATTTGCTGGTATCCTGTGCAGAGACATTACTTGAGTCACTGCAACAACGAGATGATTCTGCCTCCTGGGAGATGCGCCTTGTTCATGAGTCTTGCCGCATTGCCGGATTTCGGGCAACCTCTCACTACTGTGTACTACAGCTAGTGGTTTGTAGGAGCAACTTTTGCAGACGCCACATGGCATGGATGTGCTTTGACACGAAACGATACGGAAGGCGAGCTGAGAGCTGGG